TTTTCAAATAAATTGGGTACAGCAGGAACTTTAGAGTCATTTGGAACTAGAACAGGTTTAAAACCCTCAGGAATGAATTTACACATCGCACAAATCGCACAAAACAGAATTTTAACCATCCTAGGACACACTGCACAAGCACAACCAAATTATATCCAAGTATTTTCACATGAAAAATAGACCGAATCGTTCCGCATTACGCCTACAAATTTGCTTTTTTTTTTTTTTATCAATATAAATATCTGTACTTTTTTTGAGCTCTCCTTTTTTATTTATTTTCATGAGTTTTATACCTTTTGATTAAACCGATAAAGTCATTTTGACTAGCATCAACGACCACGTCTATAATATTTATTATTACCATTTATCAATAATGTCTTTTCTACATCAACAGCAGCAACAACAAGATGGCAACAAAGACAGCAACAATGACGAAAACGAGGCTTTTACGTGACTAAGGCATGAACAAATTGTCAGCAAAAACACGCAAAATGTTCTGGAGAAGTAATTTGTGAACGTTGTACACAACGTAATCTTGAGTGTACTTTTATTGAATCGAGTAAAAAGCGTGGGCCAAAAATGAGTAGCAATCTCCCAGAACAAATTTATATTCTTAACGGTTCTGAAACTAACTTTAATGGAACATCGAAGCTATCCTCCTTGATCTCTAATACCATATGGATTCATGCATCGGCTCTATCATTACGATTTGGATACCTACAACAACCAGATAATATTGATGAGCTTACTCTCTATTTGACTCTTATGAAGGGCAAAAAATCCACACTTTTCAAGAAGTTGGTCCCTCTCTTTATCATGCATGTACTGATAATGTATACGCTATGTCAAAAAACAATCTTTTAAATAACACAACTATTATAATATTTATGTTTTTGATGACTTTATTTTTTGATAATGACTATATGCTGTCATTCCATAATTAACCCACTTAAAATTGTTGACACGTCAAAATTTTTATGTTTATTCATAAAAGATTTTATGAATAGTTATCAATTACAGTACATTAACCTTTATATAATAAAAGATATTTCCAAGAAACAGTGTTGTGAATAACTGGTGTGAATAAAATTAAACTGATATATTCAATAAATATTTTCAAGTATACAACTAGTTAATCCAGACAACGTATAAAATCTACGTACAACTTAAGTTGAATATGGACCACCGGGCACTAATCGGCTTTTACCAACATTTCGCGAAATTTCCACGTACTGTGTATCGTACGGCCAGTGTTGGAATTCAAAAGACAGTATGATAATTTTTGTGAAAATTTTTTATTATGTTCATGCTAAAAAAAAAAAAAGATCGCAAACAAAATTTTATTAATAAATGTGGACATAGAATAAAAAAAAACTTTGATTTTTTAAAAAATTATTTCTTGTGAATACTGTGAACATAAAGGCCACTCAGTTTATGGTTAGGGTTTTTTTGTTCAAAGCGAAATTTATTTATTTTGTTAGAAATTCTCATCTCTTATAATACAGATTATCTCTGGATATAATTTTAACCGATTACATGCATTAAAACTTTTAATTTTATGCATCATGCAAATCCCAATGCACCCGATTAGGGCCACCGATTTTCTGCTGCGACCAACCCTAAATTCTGCCTGCTTCACAAGCCTGTTTATGCGAAATTATGCGAATAAATTTCTTATTTATGCTCCAAATTCTGCGATTTTTTAAAACTATGCCATAAATTCCGGTGCTGCTCACTTCACTGACAATCATTTCACCAAGTTCACTTAGCCGACATCACATAGGGTTAGGATTAGCAGGTATATATTTTTAGTAAATTGCCACTTGGTGTTATGTCGGCTTAGTGAGCTGTCGGTGAAATGATTGCGATTGTCGGTGAAGTAAGGCGGATCCCATAAATTCTGCGAATTTATACAATCCCTAAAAAAACTGACCTTAAGTCTCCGTATCCTTCCAAGGAACACACTTGTGATTTAGGTTCACTGATTGTCTATATCGGAACCCGGTTATTCAATCATTTATAATTTTCCTAAATTTGCTAAAAATTTTACGAATTATGACCCGAATTATGCGAAATCTACTCTGATATGCCAAAGATGCTATCGCATATGCTATGCGATAAAATCCATGTTTATGCGCATATTATGCTATCGCAG